CTTACATTGATTATAATTAAAACCCATCTGTCATTTATTTGCCCAACTCACCAAATGATCTAAATCCTTTTGTAAATCAGCAGCATCCTCTTCACAGCTGGTAACACCCAAACCCTTAATATCATCTACAAATTTAAGTAATTTATTGACTATTCCTTCATCTATGTCATTGATGTAAACGAAAAAGAGCAAAAGTCCTAATACTGAGGTACACCACTTGTAACATTAATCCAGTTTGACTGAACTCCATTTGTAACAACCTTCTGCTTTCTTCCATCCAGCCACTCTTCTCTCCAATTTATAACTTATCCCTCACACCTATAGAGCTAATTTTTTTACAAGCCTTTTATGTGTCACCTTGTCAAATGCTTTCTGAAAATCCAGATACACCAAATTGACACCCTTACCCTCATCTATATAGCAGTAACCTTTTCAAAGAATGTCAAAAGATTTGTAAGGCCAAATTTTCCCCTAGTGAAATCATGTTGACTATCCAATAAAATTCTAAATTTTGTTTAATGACTTTGCAAAACATCTTTGAACAGACTTTCCAAAACTTTTCCTACAACTGATGTAAGACTAATGGGTCTATAATTACGGGGACAAGTTTCATCACCTCCATTAAAAAGAGGAGTTACATTAGCTAACTTCCAATCCTCTGGTACTTGACCACTATTCAAGGACTGACAAAAAATCATAATAAGTAACTCATATATCCAATCTTTAACCTTCTTCAAAACCCTTGGGGAAATATTATCTCGCCCAGGAAGTTCTTTAAACTTCCCAATTCTTTCTTAACCAGCTCATAATTAATGCAATCATTAAGAAGATAATATTGTACTGTTTTAATTGAATGCTTAAGATGAAATATGTTTACCTATATAAATTGAATGATAATTGAAGGAAGACATTTGTCATTGTGAGAAAAAATATCACGACCCATGTTGTCTGTAAATGACTTAACATAAAGTGGAATCGTGACACCATTAATCTCTCTATCTGATGAAACCTTTAAAAAACATGTAATAAGATAAGTATGTACAAATAACAGAAAACTAAGAAAATTTGAGAATAATAACATTATTTCTCACTGATGAAAGTAAAAATGTCAAATATTCTTTGCTTTTTCACAGTATTACAAGTATATAACCATATTGTGTTTAGTGTGCATCCATGTGATTGAGTTTCTCTTGAATTTGACATTTTATACTTAACAAAATTTATGTAACATAAGGTTTTACTTTAATAAATATATATTTGTATACATAACAAATATCAAGTACAGTTTGAAGTTTTGTTAGGAGAAGGTTATACATACGACACTAAATAATGACTGTATTTTGATATATTTTCTAGGTATGCCTTTTATGCTAAAATAAACAATTGTATTTAATTAAGTAACTAAAAGTGAAAAAAAATTAAAAACTACAACATTTACCAAACAAGAATCAGAAAAGTTCATTATTGTAGTTATTCCAAAATATGAAAGGAAGTGTTAAAAACAAAGTTTATACCAATTCCTACTTGATAGTTTCTTTAATGTAAGTAGTTGAAATTTGGAGAAAAAAAAAGCTCTATATTCAACTTTAATAAAAGATTATTCTTCATGAAATAGTGTTTACTTTTTGTCAGATTTTATAAGGATAATTTATGTGGTTAAAGGATATAAACAACAAAAATGACCCAGTGTATGTCATCAAAGGAAACAAAATGCTTTAAAATATTGGTTTGTTTTGAAAACAGTCAATAGCAATCTAATACAAAAGGTTAAGGTAAAAGTTTACATATTGTAACTTCATACACTTTCAAATTTGAGAATATAATTTAATATTTTTTTAAACTAATATAGCAATCTAAGACCAATTTGAACATATGAAAATAGCATTATTTTATAAAAATTATTTGTTAAGTTACATTGCCATAACTGTAACACTAATAAAAAACTAACTGTGAGAACTAGTTGTGTATCCAGTTGTATTTAATACTCTGAAATGTATTTTGTAGAATTATTTGCACAGTTTTATCTGAAAAATGTTTGAAAAAAGTTTTTTTTATATATAAAGAGCTAGAATTTGGATATTGCAACTATTTAAAACATACTTTAGATACTTGTTTTATTGTGCATGATTGGTCTTTTACTGCTATAGTTTTACATTTTATTATTAACCCATTTATTTTCTTATCAAGATGGAAACACGTTTACATGACTTATCAATACATTTTTTGATTATTGTGTCCTTTAATTTAATTAATAATTGATGGATACAGAGAATCTGAACTATGATTATGTATGTGTAAATCATATCTCATTCTTTGTATCTGTTATGGGATAAAATAATAGAAACCTATGATAAGTCCAAATAAAATATATATATATATATGCTATTATTATGCTATCTATAGGAGATTGGTGTTTTATTTTAGAATTACCAGAACCTTTGAGGTTGAAGGCTAGTGTTCTGAACATTTTTTCTGACTACGACTACAATCGATCTGTTATAACCATTGTAGCACCACTTCAGTTTATTGGTAAGTACAGGAACATAAGTAAATGCATGAAGTTAGTAAATATGAGGTATCTTTATGTCTGATTTATGAATAAAATTGTATATTGTTTCAAATGTGACTGCAGTATCTTATGCAAGCATTTTGATTTTTAATTTTTTTCTATTTTACATATTTATTCCTGGTTACTTCATTCTTCTGTTAAAATATACTTTTTTAATTATTTTTTGTGAATATCACCTGTATTTTTGTTATCAGTTGATTGAAAGTGTGATAGTGTTTTGATGTTTGATATAGTTTGACCCTCAATATAGAACATGCTTATAGGTATGTGTTCTTTTTTATGGTATTCTTGATTGTACATAAAACTTTTTCTCTGTTACCATCCAGTTGTTTTGTATTTATTTATTTAGATACTTGAACTTGTTTGAACATATCTCTGTTTTTAGATACTTTGATCAAAATTTTTCTAGGTTTTATAACTCTTATTTCTTCAATATGCATTTAACTCATATCATCTTAACCATATTTAACTATTTCATTCTATTTATTTGTAAAACCTGTTATGTATTGTGGAATGGGATGTACTAACTGTCACATATTTCCTTTGTAATAACAGTAGCTTTCAACACTTTCTTATTTAAATTAATACTAGTTGGCACAATATATGTGGACAACTTAAGCTGGGATTAGGATTGATGCAAAACAATGGACTAGATGATGGTGATGAAGTATATTACTTTTATTTGTTCTCCAGCATAGAGAAACAAAGAAGCATCCACCAGTGAATGTAACATAGTGTAGTATTCATTGATGCTTCTTAGTGTAACAAAGTGTAAAACCATATCTGCACTTAGTTTCTCACAGTAACTATTGCTTGCTGGCCATGCATCTCAGAATAACAATAATAAGATGTGATTGTTAACAACCACTGATTTCATCTGTTTTAATGATCTAACTTTGACTTTATACTATAGAATCCTAAAACAGATCAGTTTTTTTTAATTTTTGGTTAAAAAGGTAACTTTAATACCTTGTAATGGTAGACAGAGGTATCTCTAAGATAAACAGAATCTACTAAAATTTTCATAATGTAATGGAAATAGAGCTGGGTGATTAATGAAATTTGCTTATTGATTAATTGTCAAGCTCATTAATCGATTACATTCAGCTAATTGATTATTTGCACACAAGATTGCTAAAAAACAAAAAAATTAATTATGTTCACATGAAATGGCTAAAAAATCAGGTTTTGATATATACACAGTGGGCAGAATACAGAAGCTCATTGGCAATATTTTGATGACTTGGGTAGTTGGAATAATCAAAAATAGTAATAATCTGGAATCCTAATTTTGATTAATTGATTATTTTTGTGAGTCATGACACTAATTGATTAAACTTAACAAACTTGAATTATTTGAAAATAATAAGGTAAAATCATAATGGTAATATTTCTATTACTAGATAGTTGGAATAATTGAAAACAGTAATAACCAGAAACACTAAACATTAAATGATTTAACCTTACTTTCAGTTAATTGGCCATTTAACGTGACAATGATTGAGGTAATGGATGTTTGTAGGTAAACGATTAATTGAGTTAATCGACCAGCTTTGAATGGAATGAATACAGCTATATCTTATGATACATATTCACTGACAGCCATATTTATTCAAATGTAACACATTTTTTACCTCATTTTCTCGTTACTGTAACGGCATTATGATACTATTTATGGCCAATTCAAAAATATGGCATAACCTAACAGTATTTTTTATTATTCATATATATATTACTATTAATCACAATTTCAATGAGAACTAAATTTTTATCAGCTTTTTTAATTCATATAAAATGGGTATTGTACAATATTTACTCAAATGCTAGTCCAGTTCTGAATAAAGATCCTGTCTAAACAATAGAACACTAAGGTTTTAGATTCATTACTGGGCACCTATATGGTGATAGTTACTGGTCACTATGTTTAACATACATGCTTGGAGAGATTTAATTAAGTCTAGCTGTGTCAAGCTCCATCTTTTAAGTATCTTGCCCCCTGTATATTTTTATTATGCAACTGATTAAATAGAGAGAAAGAAGGCACCTGACTATTTTTCTTGACACAAGAAAAGTTAGTAGAACATTAAGGTAATGATATAAAGTAAACTTTTTTGTTTAATCGAAGGTAGAAGTGTACTTAGTGCCTGTTATAAAGCCTGTGAACTGATCAATTTCACCGAACAGTGTGGTGTACACCCTCGTCTTGGAATAGTAGACCTGATTCCCATTCAACCCCTAACTCCAGAAGTAACATTAGAAGAATGTGGTGATGTTGCAAGAGGTAATAATCCAGTAAATTTAAACTAATTGTGATTATTATTCTTATGCCATCTATTTATAGTTGTTTTTTTTATGTAGATACTTAAAGTTTTGTTTTAATGATGGTAGCAGCATTCTGTGGTCTTGATAACTGCTAATGCAACTACTTCCAAACTGTTGATAATGGGAGCTGTCACATATGTACTAACAGTTGGTAATAGCAACATTTTGAAGTTGAGGACCAAATGTAAAATACATTTTGTTCAAACAGTTTGAAGGGGTAGTTATGCAATTTAGAACAATAAATTTAAATATTTTTTCTCTTACCACAGTAGCATTGTTTTTTGTATTATCTTAAACACCATATAGAAAAATTTCTAGTAATATTGTAAACTGTTATAATAATGGTTTTGTTGGCAAAACTGATTAAAACAGAACTTTTAATTGCCTATTTTATGTCGTATATTTTTATTTTTAAAAACAAAACCATCTTCCTTTTCAATCTTTTTTTTTTCAAGAGTGGAAAAGCTAAGCATTTACTGTAATGTGTGAACTGCCTTTATGATACATTATGTAGATATTGGCCTCTTTTTTCACATTCATTAACTGTGAACATGCTTCTCTTAGTTTTATTTTTTTATTGTTTTGTTGCTGAATGATTTAACCAAGACAAACAGTGATCTGCTAGAAATCCAGACTAAATGTCTTGCAGTATTTTTATTATTGAATAGTTGGATATCTTATTGCGCTTAAAAATGAAAAAACAGTAAACAAACAAAAATATTATCTGCACTGTTTACTATTTATTTTGGCTCGGAGTATTTGTAGTGTTGAATAATTCTGTCAAATGGTATCACTTCAAATCTCATAAGATGCTTATTGGATGGTACTGAAGTTTTTGTCACACTTGGTCCAATTATGTAAAATAAAAGGTTTAACAGATGCTGTTAATTTTCATGTAAAAGTGGGTAAGACTTATTGTCACCTCCATTGGAAGATAGTAAAAATGGAAGGGTAATTTAGTGTACATGTAATATATTTTTGGTGGAATATTTACTTGACACATATTCACATATATCAGTTTTCAGTATAAGGACTTAGTTGTTATTCTTGACCATTTAAAATTCTGAGTCATTTAAAAAATTACATGAGAAAGATACAAAAGTTTTGTTTTATTCCTTGCACTAGATATTGCCTTCTCTTTGACAAAGAATATCCCTGGAACTTCTGTGTTTTTGTTTGGTCATGCTGACAAACCACTCCATCGAAGCTTAGTAGAACGCAGAAAAAATCTGAAATGGTATAAAGGAGCTAAAAATTTTGATTTTTCTAAAATCACTTCTGATATAGGTGTAAATCCTTCAGCTTCTTATGGAATTACAGGTATGATTTTATAATTTTTGTTCAAACAAAAGGGATCTTTTAGAGATTATTCAGGTTTTTCATTGTAACACATTTTGGTTCACAACAACCAACTAAAAGCTAATGATTACAACTAAATTATGATCATTTACATTGCACTTATTTCTTCAGACATTATAGTCTACTCCACAAATAATCACAGTGTCTACATGTATACCTATAAACATATAGTCAGGGACAGTAACATATTGGTAGGTATCACTTACAATATTAATAGTTGTAGTTTAAACCTCCAGCAAAACATTCATCATATTCAAATAACAAAAGTCACTGTTCTGTTTGGATACACATTTACAGTATTAGTTGTATTATCAGATTTTTTTTCAGAAATATTTAATATTGGTCATCATCATCATTAACTTGGTTTTCTGGTGTGGTACATCTGTTGTCAATCGTCATCATTAACTTGGTTTTCTGGTATGGTATATCTGTTATCAATCGTCATCATTAACTTGGTTTTCTGGTGTGGTATATCTGTTGTCAATCATCATCATTAACTTGCTTTTCTGTTGTAGTATATCTGTTGTCAGTCATCATCATTAACTTGGTTTTCTGGTGTGGTATGTCTGTTGTCAGTCATCATCATTAACTTGGTTTTCTATTGTGGTATATCTTTTATCAATCATTGTTAAGATTGTGGTTTTCTAGTGTGGTATATTTCTTGTCAGTCAATGTTACTAATTTGGTTTTTCTGTTGTGATATATTTCTTTTCAATCATTGTTAATAATTTGGTTTTATAATGTGGTATGTTTGTTGTCAACCATTGATATTTATTTGGTTTTCTAGTGTTGTATATTTCTTATCAATCATTGTTACTAATTTGGTTTTCTTGTGTGGTATATTTGTTGTCTGTCAATGTTAATAACTTGGTTTTCTGGTGTTGTATTTTTCTTATCAATCACTGTTAATAATTTGGTTTTCTAGTGTGGTATGTTTGTTATCAACCATTGTTATTTATTTGGTTTTGTAGTGTGGTATGTTTATTATCAACCATTGTTGTTTATTTGGTTTTCTAGTGTGGTATGTTTGTTATCAACCATTGTTGTTTATTTGGTTTTCTAGTGTGGTATGTTTGTTGTCAACCATTGATATTTATTTGGTTTTCTAGTGTTGTATATTTCTTATCAATCATTGTTAATAATTGGGCTTTCTAGTGTTGTATATTTCTTATCAATCATTGTTACTAATTTGGTTTTCTTGTGTGGTATATTTGTTGTCTGTTAATGTTAATAACTTGGTTTTCTGGTGTTGTATTTTTCTTATCAATCACTGTTAATAATTTGGTTTTCTAGTGTGGTATATTTGTTATCAACCATTGTTGTTTATTTGGTTTTCTAGTGTGGTATGTTTGTTATCAACCATTGTTATTTATTTGGTTTTGTAGTGTGGTATGTTTGTTATCAACCATTGTTATTTATTTGGTTTTCTAGTGTGGTATGTTTGTTATCAACCATTGTTGTTTATTTGGTTTTCTAGTGTGGTATGTTTGTTATCAACCATTGTTGTTTATTTGGTTTTCTAGTGTGGTATGTTTGTTATCAAACATTATTATTTATTTGGTTTGCTAGTGTTGTGTGTGTTGATAAATAGATAAATTAGGTAAAGCTGTACAATTTCTAAGTTGAAATAATAGGTATGATATTATATCATAATAACTTATAATTTTTAATCACAAAATTCTTTACTGGCTAATAAAAACTTTCCTGTAAAAGAGGATAGAATTGCATTTTAACTACACTTTGTTGTTTGCATACACCTCGTTCTGGGCTAGTCAAAATGATGTATTTGTAGTTATTATCAAACGTATTTTTATATGAATTTGATAACCTTGTAAACACTTCTGAAGAAGGATATAAATTAGCATACAAATAAGTTAAAAATATTCTAGAATATTTATCATTATATTCCTTCTCACTTTGCCATGCATTAATGTAATAAGCTACATACAATAAACAACTGATGTATCAATTCACTCAGAAAAGAATATAAACATATCGAATAAGAAAGTTTTCATCCACTGAAGGTATAAGATTCCAGACAACTCATAATTACTGATATAGTAGTTTGTGAGATAGTGAATTCTACTTTTATTTTATTATGGTTTTGTTTATGTTCATTTAATATTCCTTCTGTCATTTATTTGAACAATGGATTTTTAGTTATATTAAAGTGCCAACTCACCTTCTATCTAGAGCATGTTGATTTTGAGTATGCATGTATTATGAAACTGATACAAGCTCACCGACCAGTGACATACAGATATTAATGTTGTGAAGGGTTAAGTAGATTTATGGTAATAGCTAGTCACATGAGTTGTAACCTCGTGGTCTAACCACTAAATAAAAAAGTTTCCTTGATCTTGAAAATTAGTTAATTTGCAAGATATAGTTAGAAAAAATTATTGCTAATTACTGCTCAATATTGTTCTTGAGTGGTTTAATTTTGAAACATAGTCCAATTCTCTGATGAAATAAGTTTTTCTTCGTCTGTTTTTTTTTTTTTCCATAATTTCTTTAATATTTATTGAAATTAATGATACTGAGATTGATATTGTATTATTTATTAACATTTGTATCTTGTCCTGGCCAGGCATGGGTTTACTAATTGATTTTTGTTGTAAGTATTCTAGTTGTTTGAAAGTTTTATTTTGGATTTCTGTTGTTATATTTCAATAAACTGTTTTTGTTTGACCCTTATTATATTGGCATTTTGTTTAGACCATTAAAAGTTTTCATGTAAAATGAAAATTATAAGTGATAGATATCCTTGAAATTAATTCTAAAATTAGATTTTTTTGTTTGTGTGTATTCTCATATAACTGAGAATTTCTTGTTTTTTAAATATGTGTTTTAAGGTATCGGAGCTCATCCATATGTAATGAACTGCAATGTTACTGTAGACACAAACAATGTCAATACAGGCCAAGAAATTGCCAAGGCGATTCGGGCTTCATCCGCTGGTGGTCTCCCTGGCGTACAGGCAATGGCCTTTCCACATGAAGGAAAAGTTGAAATTGCTTGTAATGTGGAAATGGTTCTTAACACAGAGTACAATAAAAATATTCTAGAAAAAATGGAAGTAATTGATAGTGTTATGGAAAGTCAAGGATTTTATGTTTCACCTGAAGGTATAGAAAATCGAGTGAAAAAAGAAGCATCAAAGTTTGAAATAGGAGTGATTGGAACAGCTGTTGTTGGTTTACTCCTTATCAAGCTTATAAAATAGGTCTCAATGCATTAACACTTGGAATTGGAGAATTTTGGAGTACTAAAAAGAAACAAACTATGTAAGACTTGTGACAGTATGGGAGAAGCTTGGTGTTCTAATTATTATATGAAAATAAATATACTTCAAATTTTTTCAACTAAAAAGTATTGAATGTCTCACTAAATAAATTTGGAATTAACTATAAGTTACGGAGTTGCTTATGAACTTGATGTTTTATTATATGTAGCTGATGAAGTTACTCCATAAATTTTTGTCACATAATAACTCTATTTAGTTTAGTTTAATATATATATGTGAAATCATACAGAGATTTTAGTTCCTTGAGTCATTGACTTTCTATCGATTTTTATAATGTGCTCATTGCTTTCCATGTATCCTAAATTTTGGTTTATATATGATTTAGATTCAAATATGTATATTTTTTAGTCAATGCAGCTTTTTCTCATAAAATAGTTTGCATATATGTGTAGCTAATGTAAATTTTTTGGGTACTACACAAAGTCAGTAGTAACAACAACCTTGCATACCACAGATGTTAAATGTAGCAGATGAGGATTAGTGTTGTACATAAAAAAAGGTAAAAGAAGTGTTATAATAAACTAATACGTATATATATATATATTATCTTATATAATAAAGTTATTTTTGTGACCATTGCTTCACATAATTAAAAAAAGCAACTTTGACATTTGTTTGTGAAGTATAAAATGGACACATTTTCATAGCACATGACTGATATTTGTGAGATGAATTTCAAAAGTTGCATACACACTTACTAGAGTGATCAAATTCAGTGATAACAGATACAGACCTACATTTCTCCTCATATGGAATGGAGGTAAAATTAATGACATTTATATTATTCGTCTTGGATTATTAGTATCATGCATAGTGGTGTATGAATTGGTGGAGCAAATTACCTCAAGCCCAATCAATCGGGGTCCCAGAAGACCCACAGAAAATGAAAAGTTTTTAAAAAAGGCGGGGGAAGAGATGTATATATATATATATATATATATTGAGTAAGCATTCAATTCCTCTTTAAAATGTCTTCAGGCTGATATGAAATAAAAATGGAATTTGTTTGTAATACACATAAGTAAGGTGTTTAAAAATGTAATAATGCTTCATTTGGTTTTAAAACAAAAGTGGGACACAGCATAATGTACATAATTACAAAAACTGAGAAAATATTTTTCAACTATGATGTGTACTTACAAAAAGTACTATACGTTTTTTATATATGTGTGTGATTTTAAAGGATGAGTTGAAAGTTTGCCCAATATTGAATGCTAAGATAAAAACTCATTTCAGTTCTCCTTTTTTTTTAATTCAAGGAATTTACCCACATTATGAATTCAAAACAAGAATTAACAAGATTGTGTTAAAAATTTGGAATGACCTTAATGAGTTAGAGTTTAGAAAAAAAAATTAATCCCAACTGACCAGCCATAATTGTTTGTTCTTAAGAAGGTACGCAAGAGATGTTTCAAGCAATAGTAACTATAGTTGTTATTGGATTGCATTTAATTTAAAATAATCACATCATTTATTTTTAAGTAATATTAATATAATGCTAGGTTACAGAGGAAGGGCTGGATAATAAAGGAAAATAAATTATTGTACACATTCAACTGTGGAAGATGGGTTAAAAAGTATAAAATATGGAGACACACGAAAATCTTGAGTCTTTTGGACTCTCGTTATACCAGTAATCGTGTATCATACAAACTTTATGATATACTAAAGAAAGGTGAAGTGAATGTGACAATTACCCTTGAAATTAAGTTGAACTGATCTTATTTGCTTCTGTCATGTGACAACTGCCTGTCCGGAAATATAAAATACTGCCAGCTAAAGAGTATCGATAAGTAAGTCATCAGTGTATATGACATTAGAATTGTGGGTAGGTGACACACAATGGGTTCTTACCACATTTAACAATATATTTAATGTTGAGAAACCCATTGTTTGTGTGATAATTGGGAATCTATCCATGTTTTTAAAGATGGTATTACAAGGCATTTACATCATTTTAAGTAATATCTCTATAATAAACCAAATATCACATTCGATGACGAGGAACCCACTTTGAGACTAATAATGGCTGGAGACGGCTTGAATGGGTAATGAAGAAAAACTTTAATGTAACAGCAAATGTACAACTTTTCGACAAGTTTTTGTCGAAACCTTGTCGAAATGTTGTACATTTGCTGTTATATTAAAGTTTTTCTTCATTACCCATTCAAGCCATCTCCAGCCATTATAAACCAAATATCACTTAGACAGTATCAAGATTTATATCCTGTAATTGATGATGACTTAGCTATTTAATTCATTTGCTAAACCAAAATGTCAATTTTATTTTAAAGAAGAAAGAGTCATTTTCTGTTATACTTGTGAGACAAGAAATTGAATAAAAGTGTAACTATAACACATGGAAATCTGCATAATATTGATAAGTCTACATGGTAGAATGGAAAATTTGTATAATATCAATAAGTCTACATGGTAGAATGGAAAATCTTCATAATATCAATAAGTCTACATGGTAGAATGGAAAATTGCTTAAAATCAATAAGTCTACTTAGTAGAATGGAACATCTGTATAATATCAATAAGTCTACATGGTAGAATGAAACATTGCTTAAAATCAATAAGTCTACATGGTAGAATGGAAAATCTGTTATAATATCAATAAGTCTACATGTTAGAATGGAACATCTGTATAATATCAATAAGTCTACATGGTAGAATGGAACATCTGTATAATATCAATAAGTGTACATGGTAGAATGGAAAATCTGTATAATATCAATAAGTCTACATGGTAGAATGGAAAATCTGTATAATATCAATAAGTCTACATGGTAGAATGGACAAATAGATATTTTTGCCATCAAAAAAATTTCATCAGCAGTAATGATAAAAGTTTGTATAAATAATGAAAAAAGGGAAGTCCATTCCTGGTGGAAGTATTGCTGTATCTAATGGTCAGGAATTTGTTGTGAACTTTATGTGTCACCTGTGCCATCTCTGTATATACATATTTTCAAATTATTCAAATAAAGTGTGAAGGATTCTCTTCTTTGAGGAAGGGTATGAAAGAAAAAATTTAAATGAATCATAGCTAAGTACATGGGAGGGTAAAAACTTTTTGCATGTGCCCATCAAATACTATATATTTTTTCCCCTATTATATTATTGTGCCATTCTTTCATTGGTGGGTTCATTTAAATTATCAGATGAAAATAATTCAAAGTCCAGTCCATGTAAACTGAGACAGTAGTAAATTTAGGGACTTACAGTGCTACATTCCAGGATTTGATTCTCTGCAGTAGACACAGCAGGTAGCCCAATGTGGCTTTTTTTTTAAACAAAAAAATCATGTAAACTATAACAAATGGGTTATTCTCTTTAGTTCATTATTACTATTAATTACATTTAACTTTAAGATTAAATAATTTAACTTCAGCATTCTACCATAGTCTTTATACTAGATGATCAGTTTATTTTGTTTCAAAAAATAAACTATTTTTGTTTTATTTTTATTCTGACTTAAACACCATATCTTGTCGTTTTTATTCTACTTGTCATAAATCACTGCACATTAGATCCACAAACTTCACATTTGAGCAGATATCAAGTAACTTGAGTGCAAGTATGACCTTGAATTTCCACAGATAACCTCAATCGAAAAGTTTTTGGTGCACAGACAAGGATATGGTTATTGCAAAAATGATTGCTAACAGTGTCTCTGAAGTAGTTTCAACAAAATAATGTATATGCTGGTAAGTTACCATCACTACAACTGACAGAAGCATAAAGGTAAAACACATTGTGCCTATATTTTTTAACTAGATGGCAAAGGAAGACTGAACCACTTTATTAAGCAGTTTTGCCAAGTGGTTGAATGGAATTTTTGTACCTAAAAACAGATGATGCAATGCTTGCTGCTTAGTTTAGGTGGTAGCGGGGAACCCATAGTCATAAAATTAAGTCAGTGATTTGACCCAGTAGAAAATTGAACCATCTACCATGTAGAATTCAAAGCTCATAAACATGATGCCCATTAAAGCTTAACTGTGTAGGCTGAAGAGATGAAACAGTTACATGCAAAGCATACCCCAGCATGATGGCAGCAGATAAGAATAATATATTGGTTGATAAGTTCCCGGGGATATTCTGAAGAGAGTGACATCACTTGGGTGTTAGTGACCTCATGTTTCTAACTGCACCTATTTCTTTGGAATTGTAATATTAAATTCTGATTTCAACAAAGTTTCCAGACCAAATAATACTTGCTCTGCTGGAAACATGACACCAGTACCACGTCACAGAAAGCTGCAATAGATGGTGCCACATTAGCAAATGCTGTATGGTGATTTAGTTTGGCCCATGTGGTAATCAATGAAGTGTCAAAAATACCTCAAACCTGACCCACTGGCTGAACCAGTAAAATGGATGGAGAGGCATCCTGATCCAAAGGATTGTAAAAAAGAACAAATTTTGTAGCTGTGGAAAATTTGGTCACTTTTTGGTGTAGATGTCCTTTTCCTGTGCCTTCACAGGAGCCCAAATCCTCACAGAACAGGCTGGATGATCATCAACAGAATCTGGAGATAATATATATACAATAGTTGCTGTTAGATCCAGTCGTTTATCTAGCAGAGCCCGAGATCAGACATCGCCATTGATATGGGAAAAGCAGCTGTCCGTCTGTTTCCCCAGGTTTAGAGGTTGGTACAATGAGTACAGATTCGAGTGTGGCTTAGTATGTGGATTTTACAGTGTTTCAGTCACTGTCACATAAACCACCACTCAAGCCAGTAACTACAGATTAATTATGATCACTAGTAGTGAAAGGAGAAGCTAGGCTAAGACCATGCATTATTGTTGGTGTACCACCACTAAATCTTTTACAATTGTAATAGCAAATCTTGGTTTGAACATTGACATTTTAGGTTTAGATTTCCTACAGATGCTATCTTCTAATATAGCCTGTCTATCAGATGAACTACAATTAGGGGATGAAACCAAAAATTTAAACCATAACAATTCTATTTAATATATGCATTAAACTGAAAACAGAATCTCAGGTAGCATCACCAGATAATACTGTGGTTGAAGCAATATCTGAAACACATTGCTTGCAATAAACCAGGATACACTTACTCAAACAGCAAGAGCAAGATATACTCCAGTTATGGTTTGTAATTATGGAAGAAAAACAGTGGAGATACTAGCTGGAAGAATAGTAGATATGGTGCATGAAACGGAAACTAGTAGTTCGGCAATTTACTTAAGCCAAACTGAATTGAAAAATGAATATACCGTCGTCAGTATACCTAAGACCGATCATCAATGATTATGCGTGTATCCTTAGTTCAATCAGCAATGAGAACTCGGGAGAGTACTTTGTCGATGTTTTCGTCTGAAACAATGGTCATCTTGAAATAACAAACCTTACCCTACATCATAGATGCTACAATTGTATAATATATATAAAGCAACTGTTGGGCAAGCTGTTCATTTAGTAAGGCTTCTACTGTAGTGGAATAATTGTAGACTGCTGGCCAAAAAACTACATTGTCCATTTTTTATTTCTAGTACCATTGTAGAATGTGATGTGGAGTACTATTTTCATGATACCTAAAAACCAGGGAGAGCATTACTCGAACACTGTATGTCAATGTACATTTAGATGGTTGAGTTACCTGTTGAGAGGGGTATAGAAAGACACAAGATTGCTGCTGGAGAATGTACTTGCATTTAGACAATAAGTGCGAAATCCATGTGTTCGGCCATATGTCGATAGTATGGGACACTTTCATGTGTTGTTGGAATGTGAATTTCACCAATCACCATTTTATAATAGAACTTGAACTCTTGACCTGTTTTCAGCTTGACTGACAGCCTGACGTAACTGATTTCCTTGTTTTTTTATTTGACTTATACCAAAATAGCATAATTTTCATTCACGCTCAGACTTCTTAACAGCTCAGTATCAACCAGCCTTAAAAAATTTGTTCCCAATTTGAACTTTACACTATTTAAAACATGTTGGACCTAAATGAGTAGCCCAGCATCGAGTTCGAAGATCTAAATTATATGCTTCTGATGATTAAATATACTGCACCTATGGAAGTTGATAAACCTCTGCTGGTCCGTGTGTTCTAAATGATGTTCCCATTGGGCGAAAAAATAGAAAAGGAGATGTTGATGTTGCAGGAGTCAAACAGCAGTTTAATTCCTTCTAGATTCCCTGGCTCTCCAGGAGTGGTACCCCATTGGCACAGCGGTATGTCTGCGGACTTACAATGCTAGAAACCAGGTTTCGATACCCGTGGTGGGCAGAGCACAGATCGCCCATTGTGTAGCTTTATGCTTAACTTCAAACAAACAAGCATATATAATTCCACAATCACTTTTATATGTCCTCAATATGATTTAAATACTTTTTGTAAACGGAAAACGTAATGGTTATTTGAAACAATTCAAAAATCGTATATTGTTTGCACAATATTTCTTAATATTAACACAACAATGTACCGACATTCCACTTCTTATAGAGTATAAAAAACAGCTAAACTATTTCAAACTAATATGATCCCGTATAGGTTTATTAACACTTTCTCTGTGGCAGAATGCGTAAAATGCCACATAATATTCCCCGCACTTTAAGCTTTAGGAGCGTTATAAGAATGATAGACAATCCCTTAGAATGGATGATAAGCGGTAGGGTGTTGTTGACTAGCTGCCTGGTTATTAGTTCAAAATTGGGGATAACGGCAGATAGCCTTAGTTGTTTTGCAATAAATACAAAACACAATACCAATATAACACTAATACTTTCACAACTTCACTTTAAATGTAGTTAAGAGGACTATCCCTTACAACCACCGAAAACTAAAATCAACAAGTCGTACTAAGTATTTAAGAATCAACTCTATCTTTAATTTATATAATTTAATCACACATTATATATTGTTGCGTAGGCGAGATCACGTGACTATTTTGACGCCACAAATTTTCTAGAAGTATCTTGTTCCTTCGTGAATGCCCTAGCATTTACTAGATATATATTTGTCTGGTATATATATATAAGACGCTCACAACGTAACAATAAGGTAATGTGTGTGTAGGTAATGAGTAATTGAACTGCAGTCAAAGAGAGACGTATTGTTGAAGTTAACGTTCGTTGTTATAGCGCGATGGTTGAAATTAAGTGTATCGTAAAGTTATATTCGGAAAGAATGAACCAGTTTTATTAAGTAAGGACTTGTGTCGCTAAAGTTTCGTCGGAACGAAGTTACGGAAAGTTAATTAACAAACGGAGACGTAACATAACCCTTCACGACAATTGAGAAAAAAAGAACTAAATATACCATACTAAAG